ACCGATCCCTGACCTACTGTGGGGGCGATTCACCTCTGAAAAGGACACTTGTCTGTCATGTTGTCAACACTTTGGATCTGGACTGTGGTTAATAAACAGCAGCCATCTAAAGGAGAATTAAATTTAAAAAAAAAATGATACTGCAATACTTCTATCAGCAATCGCATCATCATTAAACACAAGGCTCTGGTGTTAGCCATACATGCCCACACACAGATGATGTGATATCCTTTGGATCATAAGCTGTCTTCCCATTATTCTGGTTCAAGTTCGTCATCCAAAACATTGTTTTCAGAGCTGTGCAGGCTCTTTTAGATGTTTTCTGCCCTTCTTGTTCTTCAGTAGTTTCCAATGTTTTGCAACCGCCTCTCCATCCATGAAAGCATCTGATGATACAGCTACCACCCAGTAAATGTTTTTGACTTGGTTAGATGTTGTAACCATGCAAACATATCTGTAGTCATCCACTGTGGAAACTGCTTTTGAGCCTATGAAAATTGGGGACTCTATAACTTAATGGCTGAAATTGCTAAATAGTTATTGTAATGCTTTTGTTAAATCACTGGATTAAAGCTGAAAAAGGTCATAGCTCTGATCACATCTTCACTGTTTGACTTTAAATCCGCTGGGATTGTGTAGAGACAAATGGAGCTTTGCCTCGCAGTTATCAGCCCTGTTGTTTTGTTCATGTACTTTTTATTTATAGGTTGCTAAGAAACACTCGTCTTATTAGGCACACTACATTTGAGCCACATGCTCAGGTAGGCGCGTTTTAGTTTTAGATTGACCTTGAAATATTTTAAGGGTTTAATTCATTTGTTACATTTCTCGAAATCTGTCAAAAGCATGTTTAGACTAAAAACTGATATTGCTATATATATGGCAAATAGTAAATAGAGTTCACATACTCAATTTTAAAGCCGGCACACTGAATTTCTCTGAAAAGTCAGGAACGAATCAAGCGTAACATTCGACCACTAATATTTTCAGCTTTTTTGTAAAACAGTAAATTTGAAATTTCATGCTTAGAGACATTAGTTTTATTTTAGCATTACAAATATGATTTGGATTAAACAGAGCGAGCTTAACATTAATTATTAACAATTACAAAAACATAGAAAATTACAAATACTGTTAATTTACAGCAGTTGTGGCACAAACCTTGCATGGATGGTGGTCGAATAAATTTGTTAAGTGTTGTATATGGAATAATAATTTTGTCTAATTTTTCTTCAGACTGTAGAGATCATTTTAATTTGAGGTTTTTAATGAAAAAGTCCTCCTATGATTGGTGATATAACCAGCTGAATGGGTGTGGTCTTTCTCAGTTTGCCAGGTTTCTGGTTTGGTGATGGTGCACATCATCCCACAGTCAGGCTGCAATTCAAATATCCCGATATTTACAACTTCTCCAACTTCTCCCTTTGATAGCTTAAGCTCAGTTTTAAAGAAGTATATTATTGCAACAATGATGTAAGATCATTATTAGCATGTTAAAGAATACTGTTAAAATCATAATGAGGATTTTAAAATCAAAACATCCAGGATAAAGTAAGGCACCAAAGGCAGGGGGTTGTTTTGTCACTGTGGCTGTGTGTCAGTGCAGCTGGAAGTGGCTCTTGGAGCGTTTCTCCTTTGAAAATGAGGGGAAAGAGGGGAGGGGTGGTGAATAATTGATAGTGGCTGAGAGCGATATGAGTTTAGTTAATGTGCCCAGCAGCGCAGGCTAAGAGAGGAGCTGTTAGCGATTTCACCTCAGGCCTAAAAACCCAGGCAGTGGAAAAAGCTTCAGCTTTATCCTGGGTAAGCAGTCGCTTTTTCATCTTTCCATCTTTATATATTTCTTTTTAGAGCACACAGTCCATCATGTGGGACAGCGGGCGTATGTGCGTTCTGTGTGTTTCTCTTAATTTGCATGGGTCTAAGTGTGCGTACGTTTGGAGGCATCTGCACAGCTGGATCTGGCTGGTAGCGGTGTTGTTGCAGCCCTCTGGTTCCTTTCTCTGAGTGGTAATAGAGTGCTGCTGTCAGCCTCCCCAGATGCTGCTCCATAAGGACCCTCAACTCGCCAGGAGACTTTCGTGTTCACACTGCGAGTATCGGCTTCTGCACGTTTCTATTTTCTCTGAAGATAAAACGCTGCAGTTTACAGTCAGACTTGAAGGAAGTTTGTAAATGAGCTGTACATATGTCAACTTTTCTGGTAATTTAGGAGCATGTGCAGCAAGTTTAATTAAAAAAAACAGAGTCTAGAATATAAATACTTACACTTAAGAAAACAAAAAGCAAGAACAAAACGACTAAAAGAATTAATTTCAGACGTTACAGCCTCTGAATCATTTGCAATCTTCAGACTAACAATCAAATGCAGTGCCATACTCAGAACTATATTTCTGAGCAGCACAAGACAAGGCCATGAGCCATTTTAAATTCATATCAAACTGTGGCTCAGTAAGTTCAAAATGCAGCACAATAATTTATTATTGGAAGTCTAATACTTGGAAATAACAGACGACAGAGTGCGGTGACAAAATGTTCCCATTGATTGGTGATTCTGCTGCTGCAAGTTTAGATTGCTAACTGAGTTATCCACAGCTTTACGTGAGAACATTTATACTTGTAACATCTCTTCAGATGAGTGATACTTCTCTGTGAACTGTTAACCTGCAGCCAATCTAACACTTTGAAACATGATCTTCTGGGAAAACATGCAAACTCAACCCTGGTGCACTTACTGTGGTGCCAAACAGGATAACAGTGTCTTTGTTTTTGATATTTGGTCTAATGTTAACTGCAGTTTTGTCACTGTAGTCCAAAAAAAGTTGTTTTTTCCATCTGTGATGATTTATATTTAGCTGTGTGGTTCTGTCATGGGGCCTTCACTCTCTTCCACAAGCATGCATGGACATCACAAGAGAACAGAGCAGCAGTGACGACACAGACACTACACTCCCAAAAGTGCTCATCTGTCTGCTTTTACATACATATAAACTTGAGTGACATCTGATTCTTAATCCATTAGGTTTAATATGATGTCCAAAAACTGCTTCAACTCTTCTAGGAAGGATTTTCACAGGTTTAGGAGTGTTTATGGGAAATTCTGACCACTCTACTGCACAAGTATTGATGAATTTATTAACAATAGAGTATTACAATCGCCTCGATTTAATTATTCTTACTCTTATATCACACTAGTAAAACACTGAAAGTTTAGACCCTTTGGTAAATAAAAAAAAATCCCCTTTTCTGTCCTGTTACCTTTATTCTGAGTAATTTTGCATGCAACATTTATTATACACTCATGCAAAGGTGAAGCATTTAAACCTCTTTTAAAAAAAAGAAAGTCAGTGAGATGCTAATAAGACACTGAGTGAAATGAAGAGGAAGGAGACAATTCTCGTTCTGCACATTTGAACTTAACAGGAGAAACTGACACTTTGTCCGAAGTGTTCCTGCAGTTGGAGTGAAATGCTTCCTTACTCTCTGGGAAAAAACAAGAAAAAACCCTGACATCTGCTCCCACGTGGCCACACTAAGAAGTGAGGGATCTTTGTTTCTCCTGCTTCTCTTCCTTCTCTAGTTCCTCCTCGTGTCACAGTGCACTCCTGTCGTTCCTCCTGATTTACCAGACATCCTCTTTCCCCTGCTGTCACATTTGGTACAGATGGTTAGGCTCTATGGAGTGGCCTGTCAGTCTCCATTTGGCCGTCTCTGTGTGACAGCAGGCCCGATGGCTCGTGAAGGGCCCCCGACTTTCCCGGCACACGGACACTGACATTTCTCAAAGGGGCTTGCGTGCATGCTTCCCACCCAGCCCGAAGAGAGAAATGAAGAACCTGAAGTCGACCCAAAGCCCGCCACAGGCTACGAGAGTCAGGGATGGATGGAGGAGGGAGAATGAAAAAGGGGTGAAGAGAGGAGACTGAGAAACTGGGATTAGATTTAGGAGAGGAGTGAGAATGTCCGCGTTTACATGCACAGACATGAATTCGAAGCTGTAAAAGCTCTTGAAAAGGTTTGAGCCGGCAGTATTTTTGCATATCCAAAAACCTGTTGATAACCAGCTCCTGTAGAAGTGGAGACTTTTGAGGTGAGAATGCAAACTGGTGGACAAACCTGACCCAAAACAGGCAAATCTAAATGTACTGTATACATGCCCAGAGGCTGCTCTGAAAACCCAAATCATGTCAGCATATCTCTCACCTGGAAAATACTGCAAACATCCTACTCTGGAATACATAAAAGGAGTACACTGTGTACACGGCTTTTATTAAACTGGGAATATGTGCACGCAAGCGTCATGTCTAAGTCACTGTTTGTGGATGAGATGCTGTAGCTCACACCACCCGTTCCCCGACACGCTGCACTGATCATCCTCAGCACAGGTTCCTTAAAAGAAGCTGGTGATGGAGGTAAAGACGGGTGATGCGGAAACAGCCACTAACCACTCCACAATACACACCTTTACCTCCACTGTGGACTTTAATGCTTAGTATACACAAGATAAGATGAAAAGAAGGAATATTTTCTGGTAACTTTTGATTATTAAAAATTAAAGGCTTATAATTAAAACCACAGATATTAGAATCAAGGAAGCTTAAACACTGTTTAAGTAAAAAGCCTAAAAATAGTTCATTCATAAGAGCTTTTTCTCATAATCCAACATAATAAAATACTGAATATCCAGAGTCAGCCTTAGAAGTCAGTCTTCTTAGTGTTACGTATCAGTTATGGAGGATTTAGCCCCTCTGTCCTCTGTTATGTTGTAACAAGAAGCCATCACTAACCTAACCTTTGCCAGCATTGTGTAAATTGTTATATTGCATTCTGACTGCAAGGTGGAGACCACACTTGACAATCCAGAGAGGTGGAGAGGGGGGAAGCAAACAGGGTGGAGAGGGGGGGGGGGGGGAAGCTGCTGTATTGTAGCGCCTCGGGGTAATGCTCCCAGTCAATATATATCTCCACACTCGCTCCTGCGCTCCCATTTGAGCGGGACGCGCTGCCCTGCCGCTGCAGAGGAGTGACAGACAGCCACACTGGGACCTCACTTTAGGTATGAATGAATACGTTTCCTCCTTTCCTTTAAGAAGCAAGGTTTGTTTGTGAAGGCTGAGCGATATTTTAGAGGGAAGTTAAGCAGAGGCCTGTTTAAATGCTGCTTTTGTTTGCAGGGCAGAAATGTTTGATGCTGTTTTATGTCCTGCTGCATGCCTTTGTTTTTTTTAATTTTGAAAAAAGTGAGCTTTGATGTCATTATTTATAGATTTAATTAAACTACATTACTATTTTGATTTAAAATGAGAATCTTTTATATATGTATGTATTTTAATATTACTGGATAGATACATTTCTGTGGTGTTATAATGAATTATTGTCAGCTTATTTTAATTCATCATCATTTTAATTTCTATTAAATTTGGTTAAAAAATTAAATGCAAATATATCAATATTACTTGATTTGTAAATTTACAGAAATTCATGTTTTTTTTTAAATCATAGAAGAAAGTCAACATAAAAATTTTCTTGTCTTCTTTTTTTTTTTTTTTTTTTAGAACTTTTTCTCAGAGGGAGTGACAGCTCACCCGGGCTATCATCTTAGGTAAAGTATTAAACTTAATGAATTTATTAAACACGAGAGCTTAAAAATAATTTCCCCTGCAGTCTTTGCGTGCATCGACTTCCTGTGCATTAAAAAAATAACCAAGTCCCTTTCTGCTGTCAGCGGTGTGGTTGCTGTAGCATGTAACTTGTCAAAGCTTTTAGTGTGGTGAGCCTCCTTAATTGCAACAATAGATGTTCAAGCTGTTAAGCTTGTTTGATCATAGTCCCTAAAAGCTTAAAACAAGACCACAGGGTTCAGATATGGGCAGCAGGGGGGCCAAAGAGCGCAGTCAGTGAGAGGAGAGCGGATAGCGGTGACCAGAAGAGGGGGGGGGAAAAAAAATCTACTGTAAAAATGATTTTTATTGATTGGCTCGCAGCAGCAGCTGTTAGACTCCATTATGAGCCCAAAGCTCAGGTCAGACCCCCGGGGCGGACAAGTGAGCCAGTCAAATGGTCATCCACTAACGGGCCAGTTCTGGGGGTCCAGTTGGGAAAGTGGTGAGCAGCAGCCATCCTTTGTTAGCCTTCGTCTCATGGTCTCACAGATGATGATCCACGCCGTCACCTGTGTTTGCTTGGCTCTCCTTTGTTTCTAGTCTTGGAAGAGATCCGTGCATTAAAGAAAAAAAGAGTTGGTGAAGTTTCTTTTTTCCTCAGCATGGACCCTGAACTTTACGTAGACTTTCATCTTTGAGAGTCCCGAGGAAAAAACGGCAAAATAAAAGCCCCCAAAGCAGAGTGTTTTAAACTGAGCACTAGCCTGCTTGCATCTTCTTTTTCACTGCAGGCTTCACCCAATGGCTTCGCTCGCAGTACAAAGAGATCACAAAGTTTCTGCAATTTCACAGATGGGGAAAAAATGTTTTTGAATTTATCTGAAAGGATTGGAATGAAGTGGTGTTAATTAAACTAAATTTTGAACTAATGAAATAACAAAAGATGAAGAGGAGCAAAAAAAGAGAGAGTGGAATAAGGGAAAAAAAATTCTACAGGGACTATTTGTTCTTAAATCCAAAAGACAAGCCTGCTTAACACATGCAGAAGAAAATTAATCAATAAATCTGCCTGTTTATTCATAAAACAAAGCATAATGTTTAAAAGTAGTGTAAAAGCTCAGTAATAATATTTAAAGGTGCTCAGGTTTAAAGGTTTTGTTGGCTTCTTTTGTAAGACATGTCTAACTGTAAATAAATATATGTATATTTTGATATTTTCCAATCAGAAGGAAATTCAATTCAATTAAATGCTACCTATTATAATCCCTGCTAATATTGCCTAACAAGTATGACCCCAGTCTAAATGTAGAGCTGGTAAGTCGAGGCAGTGGAACCTATGCACCGTGTCCTGACCCAGATCCCAGTCCTGGCACTAATGACGCCCTATAGGCATGATGCCAGGCTCTCATTAGGAATCGGGCCTCAAACCCCCAACTTCTCTCCTTAGCGTACCAGCACTGTGCAATCCCAGGCATGGCCGTGCGGTGCCTGTAGCCGGCCTTCAAGGGCCTGGCCCCAGAACTCAAGCAGGGCTGTGAATGCTGTGAGACCCCACTGCACAGGTGCAGAGTCCCCCGTGACAGCCCTCTTTGCCCCCAGCCCTGGGCCCTGCTAGTGCCTGGTACTGCACTGGAACTAATGAGTAGTGGCAGGTACAGTGAGAACAGAGCAGCGTGGGCCTCCCTGCAGTTAGGTTAGTGGCAACCCTCGGCTTGGGCAGAAAACAAATGTTCTCTCATAATACACATATGTGCATAATGGCATAAATCACCCTTCAGTGCACGCAGAACTTTACCTCTCATAGTTTGTTTTCTTACAGAAATGAAAACCGCATCCCTCCTTCTGACTCGCAGAGAACAAAACATCATATATACAGTCTGTGCTTTCATTCACGATCCACTCTCTTGTTTATTTCACAGGTACAGCTGCAATTTGACCAAGATGATGCTCTTCTTCATCGCCACCTACTCGCAAAATTAAGGAAAACCTCACAACAAATGAAATGTACTCTGAAGAAATATCTCAAAGTCTAGCTTGAATTGTCAAAATTTAAATCACACGCTCTTTAGAAATATCAAGACTCAACCATGTCCAAGGATGACACCTGCAAAGTCACGTCAGCCAGCAAACACAAGGAGCGCAAGCCGAAGAAGCCTCACTACATCCCCCGACCGTGGGGCAAACCCTACAACTACAAGTGCTTCCAGTGCCCCTTCACCTGCATGGAGAAGTCTCACCTGTACAACCATATGAAGTACAGCCTGTGCAAGAACTCCCTGTCCCTGCTTATAGAGTCAGATTGGCCGTATAAAAAGGGCAACATCCTGCACCCAGAGCAGCTCCGGCCCTTTCAGCAGGCCCATGGCCTGCACGCTCCCGGAAAGGATGAGCTAGAGCAGGTGATTCGCACTGAGGAAAGGCAGGGTCAGAGGAGGTCTGCAGAGGAGGATGGCGAGGGCAGAGACAGCCAGGGACCAGAAGATGAAGAGGGACGAGAAGAGGGACGAGGAGAGGGGGTAGAGATCGCTGGGCTGATCAAAGAAAGCTCCGGTGATAGCGACAGAGGTGAAGCAGCAGAAAGCACTAGGAAGAAAACAAAACAGCCAGATTCAGAGCTCGATGACATGCTCTCTCTCGAAGATCAGTTTTTACGAGCCCGCTCTGTGGAGGTAGAGGCCCAACTGAGACATTATAAGCTATCAAAGACATGCCTAACAGCTCCCGGGTTACTGTCGGAGCAGTGGCGGCTGCTGGCATCCAGCCACACTAAAGCCAAAGCTGAAGGTCCTCAGCCTCGAGTAAATAATTCAATCCCCTGTTACCCCCCACCACCAAACCTGGTGGATTACCAGGACCCCACTGGGCTTAACCTTTCAGTGCTTGGGGTAGGTTATCCTATCAGCCCTGGCCTTTTCTCCTACATGAACTCAGCTATTCCCACCGCAGCCTCCGGTGTCACAGCCCAGACCCACGCACAGCTCGCCCAGCTCCCCTTCCTGGCCTCGGCCGCTCAGCTGATACACCCAGCCTCCAGCGCACACGCAGATCGAACTCTCATCCCCCCTCGACTATACTACCCCTTCCTGTGCGAGCACACATTCGGACAGGCATCCAGTCAGACCGACACCAGCAAGCCTCTCAAGACATCAACAAACACTCTAGAAGCAAGTCCTCTGTCCAGTTTCCAGCCCAAAGTCAATCTGTGGAAAGTGCCTGCTGTGAGGCCGGGATCTACCATCACTCCCGCTGGCTGGGTGTCACCTCAGAGAGACTCCCCTGATCAGGGCTACAGGCTGGGGGATAAACTGCAGGCTGCAGCCAAGGAAGGCAGAGCAAGCTGGGGTCTGAAGAGGGCAGGAGCTCCTTTAAGAAACCAAGAGGCCCCTGCGGAGAAGAAGCCAAACTTGGGCTTGACTTTAGACCTTCTGAAAAATATTCAAACTGCATCGACTCTTAATGTGGGGACAGACAAACTTCTCTTCTCTTCGGACAGGTAAACAGCTCAGAACTGTTTTTGTAATAAAATTGGTAGTAGTTGTGGTGTAGACCTCTTAGGAGTATTTATTTAACTCTTTTCTTTCACTCTTTCTTAGTTTGCAGGATGCTCATGTTCAAGGTCGGCCCACTGAGCTGTGGTACAACGATCCTCTCACCAGCCCCACCAGCGAAACATCTTCTCTCTCAACCTGTGGAAGACCCAACAGCCAGGACTCAGCTGCCGCCAGGACAATCGGGGCGTCTGAGTCAGTCGCTGCTCTGCTCGGTGACCTCTCCAAGGCGCTGCAGGAGTACCACGAGGCCGAGCGCAAAATCTCCCACCTAGAGAAGGAAGACCTTCCTGCCCAGAGACATCTCTGGGAGCACCTTAACAAAATCCGCAGCGAGCTTTCTCACATTCACCAGGCTTTGGAGCGAACAGCTCGGCAGAGCGATGGGCCTCTCGACCTGTCAGTAAAGAGGGACTCGACGGAGTCGATTGGCGATCAGAGCAGGAGGGAAGATGGGGGTCTTAAGGAAAACGCAACTGAGACAGAGGAGGAGGACGAGGAGCTCATAGAGAGAAGAGAGGACGAGAGCGCGAGGAAGGTGATAAGGGCTTCACTTGAGAGTCGTAAACAGTCGCTGGACATGCTGATCAAGATGAGTCAGGCGTCAGTGGTGAACACAGAGGTCCTGTCTCCTGGTGGCCTTGGCCTGAGGCCCAGTCCTGCTGAGGCTCTGTGGGCAAGCAGAACCACCAAGTGTGAGGCCGACTCCAGCGTCCTGCTCTGCCCCGACGGCCGATCAGTAGTGTTCACCGACATCTCCTCCTCTGCCAAACCCTCAAAGAGACCCCCATCCATACAGCGACTCGAAACCCACTGTCCTCCAAGCCCTTTAACAGCTACCGACAACTGAAACTCTGCTTGTTCCTCTGGCTGTAATATAACAGAACCCATCCAGCGGTTCACATGTAGTTTTGTTTTTGGTTACTGGCATGCCTCAGACTTTCATCAGCTGGAAAAAAAAAAAGTCGCTGTGTTTCTCAGTTGTTCACAGAAACATTTTGCACCGTATAAAGTAAACAGAGAATGACTGAAAAATCTGGAGGATTTTTTTTCTGATACACTAAAGGACGTTTAGACATTTTAAAAATGTTACATCAGCATTTTTTTTTTTTTTTTTTTTTTTTTTTTTTTAGGCGAATTTAAACAATTGTGCACATTAATGATCATGACAAGAGATAATCCTCTGAGCTGATTTGTAAATATTGTACTGAAAATAAATGTAATTAATGTAAAATGTTTTAAAGGCTAATGTTTTTATATGGATGATGTCGTGTTGGGCTGAAAATAAAATGGATTACACACACAAACACATCCATTCTTTTCAAAAACAGAGCAAAATAGGGGTTAAGACACATAAAATAATGAAAAATGGGAAGATTTTAATCAATATTTGCAAAGAAAAGGTACTAATTTGAACATTTTGCTGCACGGTGAGCAATCACAAAGCCAAATGCTATCATTGTAGTCTTTATCGATAGAAAGAAAAACAGGGGAGAAAAAAAAAGACAAATAGATCCAAAGAGGCACCGTGACCTGAATTTGCCTACGTTGTCCTAAAGGTGAAGCAGCTCCTAAAGCCAAAGCCCATCGGCTGGGTTACCTGTGCGACTACTAAGGTTGGCTGCGGGGCCGACCTCCACATAAACTAAACTTGAGACCTGTCTCCCCCGAGGACTGACGCGGAGAGCAGGGCTGCCCCACGTCTTTTAGCCCCGTCACCACCATCACACTCCAGACGCAGCAGCAAAGGTCAGCTGCCACGACCAGAAGAGCCACCGCTGGATGTTCGACCTCAAGAGGTCAGGCCAAAAATGACTGTCCGCTCATTTTAACAGCAAATTCAACATTTAGTCCCTGCAATATCACACGTTTTTTTTCCTGCTAAAGAAAGAACAATAAGCTTTGAATTTATGTTTTCGTTTTCTGCAACAGACAGCCGAACCGCCCGGCCTTCACCCTATGGCAGCTGGGAAAGGTGGCTGAAGTGGATAAGCAGAAGGCGATGGGTGCATGGAAACTGTATGATTTGTCATTGCACTAACTAACAAGATGAAAAACAACAGTCCTCTTCTTCTATTTTAGGTCTTATTCTTATAATTAGAATAGAATAGTTTTTTATTGTTGTTATACATATAAAGAAATTTAGACTAGATTTATATCTCTCCTATGAACATCAGAAAAAAAACAAATAGTTAAAGAAATCCCCATAAATACATAATAATAATAATAATAATAATAATAATAATAATGAATAGATTATTAAACCAGAGGCAATGATTATATAGGGTCGAATGAAGGTGCTGAAAGTCTTTATCAGTGCAAGGTAGTTTGTATTACTAAGAGTAGTAGAAGGAGAAAATGAAAGAATAATATAAATCTTTGATTTGTAGATTTTCTCCTTGGCTGGAAAAAAAATCCCTTTAATTTACAGAAAATTTCTGCAAAAGCATCCAGAAAAAAATCCACCCCTGTGAAATTAAATAATCTGGATGCTTCTTAGAAAAACATGCGTCTGTGGCCTGTTTGGGTGTTTTTTTCTTTCTTGTTTCGGGAACAGTAAGAGCCAAGATGATAGCGCCCTCAAGTGGACAAAGCCAGATGAGCATCCCTGGGGTTAGTGCTGACAATACAAAGGAAAACAACACGAATGACAGAAACGACAGAAACTCACCGGGGTGATCTTTTGCACGACGTGGGTTATATTTCCTCAGACATCAGCCACAAGATAAAAGTGCGTTACCATCATCACAGATCAGCCACTGACTACATCACTGACTAGTTTGTACGTGACAACAAGAATGCAAAGAAAAGCTCTCTCATAGTGATGAACATCCGTTCGTGTTTAGCTGTTGGAGCCAATAAAGCTTGCTGCACCTTCAGATTTCTCAGGCCTGACCTCACTGCAGTCTTGAAGCAGCTGTGATGTCAAGATGCTGTGAGCTGTTGTGCTTCTGCTCAGCACCTCAGCCTGCTGTACTCTTGGCTTTAAATGCCCAGACAGAAGTCCTGTGGTGGCCAAACCGTGACTCTGTTAACCTCTGTGATCTTGTTAGCATCCTCCCTGATAACAAACTACAATCAACTTGTAGAAGAACAAGATCAGAGATCCCAGGTGAATCGCTTAGGCTGAAACACCTGGAGCAGAGCTAGAACCAGTTAGTTTCTCTAAAAGGTGGAGAATTCAGAGACCTGGACATCCTGGATGTTCTAAACCAACAACATCTCACACATCCACCACGATGCAAGTGCTCACCTATGAACCCTCCTTCTGATCCTTCCTGTGGTTCAGAAACTTGATTTGTCTCTCAACATGCTCAAGTCATTCAGCTGTGAAGAGGTTGGAGGTTCTTCAACTCTTAGGTATCTCAATCTCTTAGTAAATAACATCCAGAAGTTCTCCTGGGGCTTTTTTCTTTGTTTATGAAGAAATCTCTGTAAAAGAATAAGTATATGTATGTGTAGCTCATGCAATGTTGCATTTCTTTGTTTTTGTAGCATCTCTTGCACTTTAAGTTTTGTCTGAATCTAATTTGAAACCGGTTAACTTGAAAAGGATCCAAGTTATCTGAACCCAACTCCAGGTTCGTGGAACGTAATCCCTGGAAGTGGTTATTATTCCGGATGCAAATCTTGGAGATGTGGCTCAGTTGTCACTGGGTAAGGGGAACACACTCAGGCTAAATCCCACCAGTACTATGTTTGAGGGTTCTCAAAACCCTGAATCGAAATAATCTCACTGCTCATCAGGACATATTCAAAGGCCTGCATAACCTCCCGGTTTTATTTAGCTTTGATAAGAACAAAATCCACAACACTGACCATAAGTGGTTCATCCCTCTGAAGAGACTGGTGCCAGTTTATTTTTCAAGTTGCAGATGAGTCAAAAGCATTCAGTGCCCTCACCCAGCTCCACCCACAGCTCAGCCTGCTGAACCAAGCAACCAAGAGGTCTCTCAGTAAACTGTTGAAGATAACAGAGCTCAGCCTCCGATTAAACATCCTCGACTTTATTGAACAAGGCTCCTTCCAGGACCTAGAAAATCTAAGGTAGTCAATATTCTCTGCTTTTCTGTTCACCTTTGCTCACTACTCATTCAACAAATAAATCAGTTTACCCACTACATACCTAGACTGGTGGGTCTGAGTTTAGACATCTGACCAGCTTTGTTCTGTACAGCAGCCGCCTCCAGGCACTGGTAGCACAGAACATCCTGACTGTTGTGATACTGACTCTGGGCATTTAGGGACGTAGACATGGTCAAGAAAACCTCGTGAGCATCAGAGTGGGAAAAAGAAGTGATTTAAGTGACTCTGAATGTGGCATGGCTGTTGGTGGCAGACAGGCTGAGGTTCCCAACAAACATCTCTTCAGAGACTGAAAACGAGAAACTATCAGTGAGCTCTGAGTAAAAATACCTTCTTGATGCCAAATATCAGAATGGTAATACTGAAGACTGGAAAGCAATATTTTCTCAGGAAATGTGGGACTCCTTAGAACCAACTGAGCATCATTTAAGCAACACAGCTTACCCGAGTACCGTTACTGACCATGTCCATCCCTTTATGACCACAGTGTACCTATCTGAGTAACGCACTATGGCACAAAGCTCAAAGTGTTCTGTACTCAAAAGGCCTCCAGTCAGCAGATGTCAATCTAATAGAGCACCTTTGGGATGTCACCATGGAAACTGTGTGAAGCCTTCATGTTAATATGGACCAAAATCTCAGAGGAACATTTCCAGCACATTGTTGAATCTACAAAAGAATTAAAGGCAGCTCTGAAGGCAATCAGTGAGTCCAACCTGGTACTGGAAAGGTGGACTTATTCAAGTGTCCAGTGAGTAGGTCCTTCCACCACAGACTCTGTTTTGAAGGAAGGAAGGTTCAGGGCTGAAGCAATCAGCATCATGGGCTCATCTGGTTAGAATAAGAAAAAGCAGCCATCTGATTCAGAATTATTCACAGGGTTCTCCTTTTATTCTCAACTCAAATCAATAAGGCAAAGAAGGAAGGAAAGAAAGACACACATGGACTGCTCTCTCTAAAAAGGACATAAAGTATGATTTAAGTAACTCAAAATGATACATGAACTCAGGAGACTCAAAGAGAAACTCACCTCAGCTGCCGCCCCATGTGGGAGTGAAGAAAGAGTGAGGGGTAGGTGAGTGCAGTCCTTATATACTGTGTGACATATAATGTGTGACAGGTGAGTGCAATTAAGGCCAAGCACCACACCCAATCAAAGGTGAGGAAAAGAAACAAGGTGCATCTGGTGAAGTGAATGTGCTAGAAGGTGAGCCTTTACAACAGACTCACACCTTACAGCTAAATAATAAATTAACGAAGAATTGTGTAAGGAATGGGTGCACAAACTGCTGAATCCCAAGTCTGTAAAAAGAAAAATACAAGCCACAGATTTTTTAAACACTTCATTTATTTGACGTTATACATTCAAATTAAAATAAAAAATATTCATATATATTTCTTATAGAGCTAGAGAGCAAGGTACAAGTTTAAAACAAAACACAGAAGTCTTCTGTGTGGCATATATTTATATACACAAGGCGTGGTTTGAATACTATACAGTGTGTATCCATAGCTGCACAGGTTTCATGGATGTCTATATTCTTCACTCAGTTTGAGGCACGACTAGATTTCAGTAAGAGGTCAGGGACTGGGCCAAGTGCTTCAAGACTGCCGCTTACAGTAAAACATCTCAATCTCAGCATCTCAACAGTAGGACTTGCAAAGCAAAGCTTATAATTGTCTAGAGCGCCACACTAAAGCAAAGAGTAGGAAAAGGAGGCAACGTGATCATGCAAATCCAAAAAACAGGTTCAGGTTTAAGGAGATGATAATTCTCACACTGAAGCAAACACAAAGTCAGAATTTAAGATATTTGAAATAAATTCCTGTATCGCTAACAAATCACGGCTGGTCACCTAATGCGACGCGAGTCAGCATGTTTGGTTGCACTGCAATAAATCGACTGGAAGTCACTACACCGATTCTGAGACGAATAAAAACAAGCCTCAAGTAGTCAAAAGGTAAGTGCAATCTCACCCCCCCCC